ATTTCGTATGTCTAGGAGATGAGATACAGCTTTTTAAACAAAAAAATATTCTCCCGAGAAAATATTTTTTTACAACTAAACTGTTAGAGTATCTTGGCTGAAATTACTTCCACTATATCTTCACCCTAAAAAGAAGTAGTGAGGAAAATTTCAGCAATATCGTATGTCTAGGAGATGAGATACAGCTTTTTAAACAAAAAAAAATCTGAGAAAATATTTTTTTACAACTAAACTATGAGAGTATCTTGGCTGAAATTACTTCCGGTATTTCTTCACCTTAAAAAGAAGTTTTCAGGAAAATTTCAGCATGTTCGTATGTCTAGGAGACGAGATACAGCTTTTTAAACAAAAAAAAATATTCTACTGAGAAATTATTTTTTTACAACTAAACTATTAGAGTATCTTGGCTGACATTACACCCACTGTTTCTTCACCCTAAAAAGAAGTTCTGGGGAAAATTTCAGCAATTTCGTATGTGTAGGAGATGAGATACAGCTTTTTTTAAAAATAAATAATCTTTCTCCTGAGAGAAAATATTTTTTTACAACTAAACTATTAGAGTATCTTGGCTGAAATTACTTCCACTATTTCTTCACCCTAAAAAGAAGTTTTGAGGAAAATCTCAGCAAGTTCGTATGTCTAGGAGATGAGATACAGCTTTTTAAACAAAAAAAAATATTCTCCCGAGAAAATATTTTTTTACAACTAAACTGTTAGAGTATTTTGGCTGAAATTACTTCCACTATATCTTCACCCTAAAAAGAAGTAGTGAGGAAAATTTCAGCAATATCGTATGTCTAGGAGATGAGATACAGCTTTTTAAACAAAAAAATATTCTCCCAAGCAAATATTTTTTAACAACTAAACTATTAGAGTATCTTGGCTGAATTTACTTCCACTATTTCTTCACCCTAAAAAGAAGTTTTGAGGAAAATCTCAGCAAGTTCGTATGTCTAGGAGATGAGATACAGCTTTTTAAACAAAAAAAAATATTCTCCCGAGAAAATATTTTTTTACAACTAAACTGTTAGAGTATTTTGGCTGAAATTACTTCCACTATATCTTCACCCTAAAAAGAAGTAGTGAGGAAAATTTCAGCAATATCGTATGTCTAGGAGATGAGATACAGCTTTTTAAACAAAAAAAAATATTCTACTGAGAAATTATTTTTTTACAACTAAACTTTTAGAGTATCTTGGCTGAAATTACTTCCACTGTTTCTTCACTCTAAAAAGAAGTTTTGAAGAAAATTTCAGCAATATCGTATGTCTAGGAGATGAGATACAGCTTTTTAAACAAAAAAATATTCTCCCGAGAAAATATTTTTTTACAACTAAACTGTTAGAGTATCTTGGCTGAAATTACTTCCACTATATCTTCACCCTAAAAAGAAGTAGTGAGGAAAATTTCAGCAATATCGTATGTATCAATGGATAAAACATCTGAAAATAGACATACGAAAACAATGCTCGCATTTTTATATTTCGCACGTAAAAGATAACGAATACTTAGAAATCGAGGAAAAGTTTAGTTTTAAAAAAATGTTTTCTCCGGAGAATATATTTTTTTGTTTAAAAAGCTGTATCTCATCTCCTACACATACGAAATTGATGAAATTTTCCCCAGTACTTCTTTTTAGGGTGAAGAAACAGTGGATGTAATTTCAGCCAAGATACTCTAATTGTTTAGATGTAAAAAAATATTTTCTCAGGAGAATATTTTTTTTTTGTTTAAAAAGCTGTATCTCATCTCCTAGACATACGAAATTGCTGAAATTTTCTTCAAAACTTCTTTTTAGGGTGAAGAAACAGTGGAAGTAATTTCAGCCAAGATACTCTAATAGTTTAGTTGTAAAAAAATATTTTCTCGGGAGAACATTTTTTTTTTGTTTAAAAAGCTGTATCTCATCTCCTAGACATACGATATTGCTGAAATTTTCTTCAAAACCTCTTTTTAAGGTGAATAAACAGTGGAAGTAATTTCAGCCGAGATACTCTAAAAGTTTAGTTGTAAAAAAATATTTTCTCAGGAGAATATTTTTTTGTTTTAAAAACCTGTATCTCATCTCCTAGACATACGAACATGCTGAAATTTTCCTCAAAACTTCTTTTCAGGGTGAAGAAATAGTGGAAGTAATTTCAGCCAAGATACTCTAATAGTTTAGTTGTAAAAAAATATTTTCTCAGAATATTTTTTTTTGTTTAAAAAGCTGTATCTCATCTCCTAGACATACGAAATTTCTGAAATTTTCTTCAAAACCTCTTTTTAAGGTGAATAAACAGTGGAAGTAATTTCAGCCAAGATACTCTAAAAATTTAGTTTTAAAAAAATATTTTCTCAGGAGAATATTTTTTTTTGTTTAAAAAGCTGTATCTCATCTCCTAGACATACGAAATTGCTGAAATTTTCCTCAAAACTTTTGTTTAGGGTGAAGAAATAGTGGAAGTAATTTCAGCCAAGATACTCTAATAGTTTAGTTGAAAAAAAAATATTTTCTCAGGAGATTTTTTTTTTTGTTTAAAAAGCTGTATCTCATCTCCTAGACATACGAAATTTCTGAAATTTTCTTCAAAACCTCTTTTTAAGGTGAAGAAACAGTGGAAGTAATTTCAGCCAAGATACTCTAAAAGTTTAGTTTTAAAAAAATATTTTCTCAGGAGAATATTTTTTTTTGTTTAAAAAGCTGTATCTCATCTCGTAGACATACGAACATGCTGAAATTTTCCTCAAAACTTTTGTTTAGGGTGAAGAAATAGTGGAAGTAATTTCAGCCAAGATACTCTAATAGTTTAGTTGTAAAAAAATATTTTCTCAGAATATTTTTTTTTTGTTTAAAAAGCTGTATCTCATCTCCTAGACATACGAAATTTCTGAAATTTTCTTCAAAACCTCTTTTTAAGGTGAATAAACAGTGGAAGTAATTTCAGCCAAGATACTCTAAAAGTTTAGTTTTAAAAAAATATTTTCTCAGGAGAATATTTTTTTTTTGTTTAAAAAGCTGTATCTCATCTCCTAGACATACGAAATTGCTGAAATTTTCTTCAAAACTTCTTTTTAGGGTGAAGAAACAGTGGAAGTAATTTCAGCCAAGATACTCTAATAGTTTAGTTGTAAAAAAATATTTTCTCGGGAGAACATTTTTTTTTTGTTTAAAAAGCTGTATCTCATCTCCTAGACATACGATATTGCTGAAATTTTCTTCAAAACCTCTTTTTAAGGTGAATAAACAGTGGAAGTAATTTCAGCCAAGATACTCTAAAAATTTAGTTTTAAAAAAATATTTTCTCAGGAGAATATTTTTTTTTGTTTAAAAAGCTGTATCTCATCTCCTAGACATACGAAATTGCTGAAATTTTCCTCAAAACTTTTGTTTAGGGTGAAGAAATAGTGGAAGTAATTTCAGCCAAGATACTCTAATAGTTTAGTTGAAAAAAAAATATTTTCTCAGGAGATTTTTTTTTGTTTAAAAAGCTGTATCTCATCTCCTAGACATACGAAAATTCTGAAATTTTCTTCAAAACCTCTTTTTAAGGTGAAGAAACAGTGGAAGTAATTTCAGCCAAGATACTCTAAAAGTTTAGTTTTAAAAAAATATTTTCTCAGGAGAATATTTTTTTTTGTTTAAAAAGCTGTATCTCATCTCGTAGACATACGAACATGCTGAAATTTTCCTCAAAACTTTTGTTTAGGGTGAAGAAATAGTGGAAGTAATTTCAGCCAAGATACTCTAATAGTTTAGTTGAAAAAAAAATATTTTCTCAGGACATTTTTTTTTGTTTAAAAAGCTGTATCTCTTCTCCTAGACATACGAAATTTCTGAAATTTTCTTCAAAACCTCTTTTTAAGGTGAAGAAACAGTGGAAGTAATTTCAGCCAAGATACTCTAAAAGTTTAGTTTTAAAAAAATATTTTCTCAGGAGAATATTTTTTTTTGTTTAAAAAGCTGTATCTCATCTCGTAGACATACGAACATGCTGAAATTTTCCTCAAAACTTTTGTTTAGGGTGAAGAAATAGTGGAAGTAATTTCAGCCAAGATACTCTAATAGTTTAGTTGTAAAAAAATATTTTCTCAGAATATTTTTTTTTTGTTTAAAAAGCTGTATCTCATCTCCTAGACATACGAAATTTCTGAAATTTTCTTCAAAACCTCTTTTTAAGGTGAATAAACAGTGGAAGTAATTTCAGCCAAGATACTCTAAAAGTTTAGTTTTAAAAAAATATTTTCTCAGGAGAATATTTTTTTTTTGTTTAAAAAGCTGTATCTCATCTCCTAGACATACGAAATTGCTGAAATTATCTTCAAAACTTCTTTTTAGGGTAAAGAAACAGTGGAAGTAATTTCAGCCAAGATACTCTAATAGTTTAGTTGTAAAAAAATATTTTCTCGGGAGAACATTTTTTTTTTGTTTAAAAAGCTGTATCTCATCTCCTAGACATACGATATTGCTGAAATTTTCTTCAAAACTTCTTTTTAGGGTGAAGAAACAGTGGAAGTAATTTCAGCCGAGATACTCTAATAGTTTAGTTGTAAAAAAATATTTTCTCTCAGGAGAAAGATTATTTATTTTTTCAAAAAGCTGTATCTCATCTCCTACACATACGAAATTGATAATTTTTTTCCCAGAACTTCTTTTTAGGGTGAAGAAATAGTGGGTGTAATTTCAGCCAAGATACTCTAATACTTTAGTTGAAAAAAAAAATATTTTGTCTCAAGAGAATGTCGGCTGCTAGTTTCAGTTTCATCATTGATTTGAAAAGTCGCATGACGTCACGTTATGGTACAATTTTCACTTAAAAGTGACGTCACGAGCGCCTACTCCCAAACTTTGATGCGCTTTAACTTTGTCATTTTTTGGTTGATTGTCTAACGTAAAAATACGTGTCCATTATTTTTTGATCATCTAACTGACGGACTAAATAGAATTTCGTTTACTTTACCCCGTCGTCACCCCTATTGTACATTTTGATTTTATTTAAATTTTCACAGTGTTCACTTACAGTTCGATTCTCGCGGGAATGCGTGACGTAGTTGTATATGGGCACCTCCACCTTCTTGCCTTCGCGCAGTCTCTGCAATACTTGTATCAGGAGTTCCATATCGAACGCATCCGGGTGGTCGAAGTTGTATTCGTTGCGTAAGGCCTGCTGGTGCTGCTTTTCGTTCAACACCTGTTGATTAAACATGCTAATTTCAGTCTAACTTAAAGGGGGCCTCCTTTAACCTACACCTGGGTCAAGGAACTGCTCAGAGTTTCTCTCTCTCTCTTACATGATGGACCCGGCACCCACACAGTGAATCCATGGATTGCTAAAAAGTTCGTCTCATGTTAGTGACCATGACAGTTTAAAAGAGTTGTGGAGGCGACATCTATATGCCCCACAGAAAAAAAAGGATGGAGGAAAACATTACTCAGCGTCCTCAAGAGATGGCGCTACCGGCGTTGCGATCAATACGTATGGAAGCCTGAATCGCGCAAGTAAAATTCGGAGGCTAACACTTTATAAATACGATGCCCGACCAACATCAGTTGGGCCGCGGCCCCCGAGCTAGCATCATCCAGCTCGGAGTAAGATCTTCTCCTTTGGCCTTCCTATAAGTTTTAACACAAGAAAAAATAGCCCGAACGACGTCTTTCAATATCCTCAAAAATGAATACCTAAACCACGGTAATAATATCATACAGTATTCTATCTTCATACAAACGGTCGGAAAGCGAGTCATATCTACGCCACTCGAGTTCGATGTGCTCTCGGCGGGCACCCAGTCGCGAATGCGCCGCCGCGCCGCAACGACGACCGAACGGTCTGAATTGTTTTTTATGCAGTTAGCCGTGCTTAAACGTGCGTTTTGTATTGTTAAATATTTGATTTAATTAAGTAGATACCTACATAATTTAGTATGGAAAAGAACAAACGACGATCAATATCGTACAATAGCACAATTTCTGTTTTTGGTTGCTTGAACTCTTCAATAACACACCCAGAAATATCATTTTTTAAATTACCTGAAATATTGGAAAGGTGTCTTATCTTTATAGAATATTTTTTATATACCTATCTATAGTACGTTATTTGTTTCTAATATTTAGGTATTTCGGTTTTTCCATCGGGCAAAATATCTGGAATAATATATAAATATGTAAGTGGTTAGGATGAAAAAAGAGACAAATGAGTAATCTACCTACACTCGCGTTAAAAACAAAACTACATAAAATACTGTAGGCTGGCGGCCCTACCGCGTGCCAACGCAGCGCTCGGCCGTAGGCATTTATTTTCAAGGACAGGGCGGAGTCACAATACTGTATAGATAATATTACCGTGCCTAAACTTACTGCTACTGATTTCTTTTTTTTTTATTTATGGGAAACAAAATTTCTTTACGTACGTACAAAATCTAGGAAGCACATACTTAAATAGTTATATCTAACACGATTTTGAGAGCAATTATCTATAGTCTTGAATAAATTCTGCTTATAGCTGCGTGAAATGCCCGTAAACGTAACGTCAATATGTGCGAAATAGAAATTACGCTATCTAAAAGTGATCAGCATGTCGTAAAAAAGTGACACTGCAATGAAATGACAATTCGAATTTATCACCATCTTACGTTGGCATGGCATCGAACAAAGAAAACAAAAACGTGTAGTTCCTGTGGGATAAAAAAACCTTAATTAACGCGGGCGAAGTCGCGAGTGGGAGCTAGTTCAAAATAAACGTATTTACCTTGTAGAAGGAGTCCATACTGACAATAGTGACCCACGGTATGTTTAGGGCTTCGATAATTTTGGCGGCCACCGTGGTCTTGCCGGACGCGCTCGCGCCGCATATACCTTCAAACAAAAACAACCTGAAAATCAATCGTATGTTACTCAATCACAAATCTGTTCCTAATGTCCGGCGCCCTTATTAATAAACATAGACTACGCATGGATTAGTTACTCCATGTTTTGTCTCTGTCTATTGAATGACAAATGGCATTTGAGTGACATGAACAAAACACGGCGTAACTAGTCTAAGCTTATTCCTTGTTTATTAATAAGGGGCCGTTCAAGTATTACGTAAGCAGATTTATTAAAATTATTTACCCCCTCCTCCCCCTTGTCAGCAAAAGTAAGCAAAGCTCTTGCCCCCCCTCCGATACTTACGTAAACATTAAATAAATAAATATTTCCGACACTCACACCGATTAGCCTAGCCCCAAAGTAAGCACTGTAAGGCTTGTGTTATGGGATGCTAGGGTAACGGATAGAATACATATACAGTACATATATAAGTATATTTAAATAGAAATACATATTAAACATCCATGACTGGAGTACAAATGCTCATATTCATCACACAAACATCTGCCCCCATCTGACCTCTCGAGTCGGTGACACCATGAAACCCGGCGTACAAACCACTCGACCACGGAGGTCGTCATTGGTACCTATATACGTTTTTCCATTAATGTATTCGTTTTTTTTATTGATTCATGAGCTTTCGTGAGCTTCATGAGCAGCAGTACTTAAATAGGCTTAGGATAGAGCACTTTTAATGCACATAATATTCATTTTAACAAGCTTAATTGCCACAGTATTTAACATAGAGTAAGGTACAGATATTATAATCTTATTAATAAACAAACTTTTTTCGAATTTTGGTATACATATTAATTCCAATTAACAGTCTTCAGTCCATGGCACCCGAATCCATGATGCTGACGTAATCACTATCTCAAAGAAAAAAAGCAAAGACCCCCCTGCCCCCTTATAGTGCTACGTAATACTTGAACGGCCCCTAAGGGGGCGGGTGTTTAATTTCTTAACGGTAACATTGAAAGAGCGTTATCCAAATTTTAATTATTAAAACTGTGTTATTTAAATTTATTTTATTCAAGCATTTAACTGCTAGATGTATGTAGAATAAATCTAAAGAAAAGTTTTACTAGAAAAAACTTGCTGCGTTACGGGGATCTCGCAGTTCCGCATTTAACAGCGTAGAGGGTATTCGCAGGGGTTTTTAGCGGATTAGCCGCTTGGGCTGCGGTTCGTGAGACTAGTCAGGTGATGCTGTGAACGGAGAAGCCCAGGATCGGTTAAAGCGGGCGCGGACTGGGTTGCTGGTCGGAGACGGTGTGGTTTGACCACGCTTGCGTGAGTGCACGTCAAAGTATGCCCGCACCGACTAGCGGCCCTCGGGCTGCTCGCCGCTTGTCGAATGCACCACGTAATGAGGGCTATCGCGTATGAATCCGCCGCTAGAGGCGCTAGTGTAGCGTGAGGTCTCCGAAATGTCAAATGTTATTGCTTGTTGGTTGACTACGCGGGTTTATTTCTTATTAAAATAATGTTGTGAATAATTGATAACAATTCGGCTTAATTATGGCAAATATGAGTTATGTGGCAATGAATGTCAGATATTAACAATTTGAGCTTAGAAAAATGATTATGTTCCAATTTTTTCCGAATAAAACGGAACTGGGCGTTACTGTGGCATGGCCTATTATGTTTAGGATATGGTTCTTTAAAATACGATCTAAATGTAACCTTTGATTTCATGTGCGTATAAATAAACTTTAAAAGTTACAATTTAGGACCTCACTCAACAGTGGCGCCATCTGGTGAGACAGAAAACGGTAGCCCTCATTACCTGCGTCGCGAGAATTTGTTGACAGCAAACCAACGCGGCGTTGGTCATTGTCGTGGATATAATTCATTTTTTCTCCCCGTCATCGAATAAAAAAGGGGTTTTAAGCGGATAGTATGCCGTAAGCGCTCGTAAGCCGCTCGGACTGTTTAACGGCTTCTCCGGTTCGCACCCGTGAGACTTGCGAGAGGCTAGGTGCGGGGTCCGTTCGTTGGTGTGCCCCTTAAGGGCGCCAGCGTCTGTAAATAGATGTTTTGCCTGCGTAATAAAAAAAAGGTTAGACATTACATTAGACAAAGGACGTACCGATCAGAAAGGGCTCGACCTCCTGCCCGCCCGTACAGTTGTACCAGGGCGGGCGGCCTGCAGTATAGATCGTGCGGCGGTCAGCGTGTAAGATGCTCTCGGCGGCGGTGCGTTTGTTAGACTGCGACATGGAGGTGGTGCGCACGCGACGGGCACGCGGCGACTTCAGTATGTTCGATCCTGGACGAAAAGAAATCTTATGTGTTAAGTTAAAATAAAAAAAATATTTAATGTAAAGAAAATTTTACTAGAAAAAAGACAGTTCAGCGGATAGACAGTTTTATTTGTTTCCAAAAACATCGATGTTTTAGACATATCGATGTTTTTCTATCGATATTTATCGTACATCGATACTTTTGATTCGATGTTAACATCGATGTTTTTCTAATATCGATCATCCCAAGTTCAGCGGTCCAGAAAGCAGGCGGGACTTGTTGGTTACCCACAATGCGAAGAGATGGCGCTGCCTTGCAGCGTAAGGAAATACTACTATTTCTTAAACGTTTGGCGAAAAGTAAACATAGCTCAACAATAATTACTTCAACATCAGCCTATTAATGTTCCCACTACTGGGGCACGTGGAGGGAAGATTTGGGCCATGACTCACCACGCGGGCCCAGTGCGGATTGGTGGGTGCTAACGACTGCAGATGCAGCCGGGACCAACGGCTTAACGTGCCTTCCGAAGCACGGTGGAGCTCGATAGTGATTTTTGGTCACCCATCCAATGACCGACCACTGCGAAAGTTGCTTAAGTTCAACGATCGCAGCCGAACGCGCTAACCACTTGCGCCATCGAGCTCCTCTTATTATAATTACTTATCACATATAAATTAAGCGAGTAATAATTAAGCGATATTTTTGCAAACACAAAAACTAAAGCTACAAGAAAAAAAATTAAAAGGGTAAATACTAAAATTTATTTATATTTAAAAGTATCGTATATATCAGAAAAACATTGGGTGTCGATTCTGGCATGGTTCTCTAAACCTAAACTTGAATTTGAAGACAGTGCATCCTTGTCATTCTCTATCCAGAATGAAAAGGAGGGACTGATGTTGAGTTTGGTTCTGTGTTTGGTGAATCATATCAGAATCGATACCATTAGATCAGAATTCCCCAAACTTTTTTGTGTCGTAGACCCTTGCCATGTTTTTCCGTGTTGGCTAGACCCCCTACTTACCTGATATTGATTTTTTTTTCGCTGATTTAGACCCCTTGTAGGTTGTCATAGACCCCTAGGGGTCGATATAGACCACTTTGGAATCACTGCATTAGATGAATAAACGGTACAAAGAAAAGTATTCATTATATCTTATTAGTCTTACATACTCAGTATTATTATGTATATGTATAAATATTACATTTTATTTACGACATTTATACCTAATATTTTTATAAGCTTACATAACGATCACATGCGGATGGATTGTTTGATGATCGCGTGTTAGGTATAGTATTGTTAATTTACTTAAGGAAAACCTGTCATTGGCCATACTTTTCGAAATGTATCTGCTGTATATTTTGGTGGTGTTCCAATTACAGAGCATAATGCGACTCAGTGGCGCACAATGTCGAATTATGCTGATGAAGTGTTGAAAAAAAATGTTTCTACCTTCATCCATATTTATATTTAATTTTTTAACATAGTTTGAATTAACTTTGATTATTTAAAAAAGCTATAATGAAACGAAAGTCTTAATAATTTTTCAACAATAAATAATATTACTAACGATAACATATAAATAAAACATTTCGATCAATGCCAACTTAAAGAAAAAACACTTGTTAATTTTCTGTCTCTGAGTTGGTACGATTGCACGCATCACACGAAAGCATTAGGTATTTTTGAGAGTGCTCGATTGTGCGAAGCGTTGCTGTAGTTGAAACATTCAACGTTAAGTATTATGCCGCATAATGCGCTATAATGCTGTAATTGGAAAGCTACCTTTGTATCGTAAAAACGCTGTTGGTATTCTAAGAAAATAAATAAATAAATGATAAGCATAGCATAGATTCTCGTAGTAAGCGTGTATACTATATAAAAAGCCTTTTTATGATTAATTCTGCTGGGATGTTTTATTTTTTGATAACTAAGAATTCTGCAGGCATTAACAGTTATGTCATACAATAATTTAAATAAACGATCCAAGGTTATACCTACTTTGCAGGCCGCATGTTCCGAACAGTCTCGAGTTGTTATTGTTATGTCTACTTTTTGTGCGGTAATTTGACTATTTATGACTGTGGGTCAGCATAAGAATTAATAAATCAAGTATACTTTGTTATAATTGTTTCATAAGACTGAAATAATATGTCATAAGTCGTTACTTAGGTTTTCACGCACATCACTCATTAAATAAAACAAGTTTCAACGGGTTAGATGCACTTTATTGACATTTTATTTATTTATTGACGTTTCGCATACTTTGCAGGAATGCGTCCTCGGAATCAGGGCCGTCTTTAACCTATTGGAGGCCCCGGACATGTTAGGATAATGGGGCCCCTATGACTTTGATGTGGATTATGACTTGAAATGGAGCGAATCATACTGATGAGTGTACTACTGATGATTTTTCTTTAAAATGTGTATGTGCTTAGTATACCATCATATGTATATTTAGACTAGTGGCCCGCTTTCGCTTCTCTTCGGGGTAGAATTGATCAAAATCCTTTCTTAGCGGATGCCTACGTCATAACATCTACCTGCATGCCAAATTTCAGCGCGATCCGTCCAGTGGTTTGGGCTGTGCGTTGATAGATCACTATGTCAGTCAGTTTTATATAACCTTTGAGTTTTATATATATAGATTTATCTAAGCATGCTGAAGTTCGAAAGCCTAATTTTAGGGCGAGAGTAGAATAGCTTCGCTTAAGTATGTAAAGCTAGTAAGTTAGTCAGTAATTTTTTTGGTTCGATTTCATCGAATCATATAAGTTTTTTGGTAATAAATATTGGTTATCGTTTGGTGATCTGACAGAAACTAGGGACTTTGTATTTGATCTGAGGGAGGCCCCTATCGATTGCGGGGCCCTGCCAAAGTGCCCACTGGGAAAGAGGGGACTGGTCGGAATAAATCAACCATTATTGTGAAATTATTTATTTATAAGGATGCGTAACATCAATAAATAAATAAAATCAGTGCATCTAACCGTTGAAACATGTTTTATTTAAATGTCATCATAATATTTTGTACAGCAATCTCTTTTAGTTTGTTCGTTTTTATTATTATTATTATGTTTATGCACCGGTTTTTAAGATTTATAATGCTTCAGACTCTGTAGGTATCTATATTTATATGTAATTGTCTATCAATTATTATTTTATTTATTTGGGGATTGGTGGATGCTAACGACTGTATTTACAGCTGAGATCATCGAAAACCAGCATGCCCTTGATCCACAGATATGTGCTCGATGGTGGACACAAGGAAGATCTCAAGATGATACATATATTTTAAAGAAAATTTATACTAGAAGAAAAAAACCCGCGGCTTATCACTGTGGAAACGGATTCTTTTTTATTTGTTAAAAAATGTTTTATAGTTTATGAGACAAAATTTTAATTGTTTAAGCAATTAACTGCTACGTTTAAATATAAAGTAAATTTTACTAGAAAAAAATCCACGCGGTCCAAGAAGCAGACGGGACTCGGACCCGCACCCTTCGCTATCCGGGCGTATGCGCTGACAATTATGCTAACACGATCTGAATGACCATATCGAACTTTTAGGGATAAAATCCTTAATTTGTAAACTTTCATACTTTGTAGGGGAGCGTTGTTACAGGGATAAGAAGTTACACGCGTTTTTTAAACTCTTTGATGGACATAATTGGACTCATTTGTTTTCTTATAACATCGTGCATTAGATAAAAAACAATCAGTGACCCGCCAAGCACTGAGCTGCTAAGTTGTATGCGTGTCAATTTCAACCAAGTAACTAAAAAAATCCTTTACGAATATTTTTGATTCCTGATGACTATATTTTTTATTTTGACAATTTTTTTAACCTTGAACGTTCATTATATATCTACCTTTAATTTACAATATTGTTTTATTCTACTATCGATATCCATTAATAATGACTTCAATTTATATTAAAAAACGGTCCATGGGGAAAGTAGTTACAATTGTTTGGGGTAAGTTGTTATTAATCTAAGTGCCTTAAAAATTTAAGAATCCAAAGTATCTTAGTTTGCCAAAACTTTAATTAAAATAACTAATTAAGAAGTGAAAGTGAATAATTTAACTACTACAAATAGTTATTTGCAGACTAAGTCTGTGTTTTTATATAAGATTTAAAAATGTCCCTGCCAAAGTGATTTTTTACAAAATAAAACTTAAATAATTACCATAATAGATATTATAATTACTCATAAATGTTAGAAGACTGTATAAAGTGATCTCTATTGTTTATATCGTTTTGAAATACTAATAAAAAAAATGTATCACTGATGATTTTGTTAATTAATCTACCGTAACATCGTGCCCCGATGATGTAACAACTAGCCCCAATTCCGGGGTAAGATGTTACAATCTACTTGTTTAGTTAAATTTTCCATTGTGAAAAAATTATATAAAAAAAATGGGTGCGTGTACTTATGTAGGCGCGTGAGAAGTTATCCTTCTTTGGCATCGTTTAAAATTAGTTTTTAATTGCATGCAAATAATTAATTACAATAAATTAATAAAAAGTCTGGAAAAGGACACAGTCAATAAAGTTCAGTTTTAATTTGAAAAAATAAATAAATAATCAAAATTTTCAATTAAAATCGCTACTGAATATAATTTATTAGAACATGTGTGATTTGCACTTGTATGAAACTCAAACACGTATTCCGAATATACAAACTAGAAACATGTGGATAAATATTATAAATATGAATACCTATAACTGTTACTTTATTACAAAAAATAAAGATGTGGTTTTTGGTTCTACTACACCAATGGTCAAGAGATGGCGCTGTAGTCTCCTGAATCGCGCTTTGGTTCCGTTGTTCCAGATTAATAAATACTTTTGATACTATAAATATGAATACCTTTATCTGTTACTTTATTACAAAAAATAAAGATGTGGTTTTTGGTTCTACTACACCAATGGTCAAGAGATGGCGCTGTAGTCTCCTGAATCGCCCTTTGGTTCCGTTGTTCCAGATTAATAAATACTTTTGAGAGGCCTT